GACTCCAATCATCTGCCTTTTTTACCTCACCCTGGGCCTTCTCAAGTCTCTTTTCCTCGGCAACTCTTCTCCTCTTCTGTCTCTCTGTGGCAGCCTCCTGTCTCTTGGACTCCGGAATATCTTGGCTAGAAATCATGAGAGCCCCTATACTGCCAGTCTTCTCTCTCTGTGCTTTGACAAATGCCAGTTAGATCACAGGAATCTTCAGTTCACGCTTGCAAATACAGGAGATGTGTGAATTTCGGTTTACGATCCGCGATGCATCAAACTCAGGACAGAGAACAATTGGGCACTTGCAAGTAATTATGTCAAATAACTGGTCCAGTTGCTTGGCAAAGCTGTCCTTAACTGCAAGTTTTCCTCTCCCAAGAGAGATATATCTTGCCTTTTCCCAACTGGCTAGCAGTCTCTCACTAATCTTCTTCTGACTTGTTATGACTGGAGGCTTGAACTGAGCGTTAGCCAGAGTGTACTGTGCCAAGACAGCTTTGGTCATATCACTGGCAATGTCTTTGTTTGTGTAAGTTCTTTGGTTCTTTTCACTGATTTGCCTGATTAAAACACCGTATCTCAAAGCATCTCTCAATGTAGGCAACTCCGACTTCAGGAGCTCTCTCCCAGACCCAAGATAGTGACTGAGATGGCTGGATTTTTGGTTCCTCGTCCTGACACAAGCAGCCATCGCAAATATTATCAACTTATAAATGCATCAGAATCTGAAACAGAAAAAAATATTGTTAGTTGGGTTGTTAAAGAATGAAGTCAGAAAGCAATGTTCACTATTTAATTGTAATGCACTAATGCAGCTGTACGTTAGATTTTCGATAAATTTCACGCTAAAATTTACCTAGCAAAAGGTTGCAAAATATTGAAACTGAAATTATTTTCTGTTTATATACACTAAAATCTACCAAAAAAGTGATGGGCCATTAGTTTTAGCTGATCTTCCCTCCTATGACACACCCTAACGCAGCAGTGTCACGTAAGATGGGAATTGCAGAGCCCAAACCCTTCAATGCTTCCTCTGGGTGGTTGCACAGGTTTAAGAAGAGGAACAAGATCACCAACACCAACATTGTTGGTAAGAAGCGAGTGCTGACCGTGTTGCGGCTAGGGATTTTCCTCCGTTTTAACGTGAGATTATGGAGGAAGGACAGTACACAGACGACCAGGTGTTCAACATGGACGAATCCGGTCTGTTTTGGAAAAAGCTACCTTCCAAGACCTTCATTGTCAAGTCTGCCAGCAAGTATCGGGGCCGGAAGTTGCAGAAGGAGCGCATCACCGTCCTCTTTACCACCAATGCCTCCGGTTCCTGTAAACTCAAGTTATCGGTGATCCACACAGCTCACACGCCTACAAGAACATGGACATGACCAAGCTAAATGTCCACTGGCTGACCGCACGTAAGGCGTGGATGTTCTCTACTCTGTCCCTCTCCTGGTTTGATGACTGTTTCGTTCCCGACGTGAAGAATTTCTGTGAGCAACAGAATGTTCCATTCAAGATTTTGTTGCTGCTTGACAACGCACCAGGACACTCACCCCTACTGTTGGATCGTCACCCCAACGTAAAAGTGGTCTTCCTTCCTCCCAACACTACGTCATTAATCCAGCCCATGGACCAAGAATTAATCTGCAATGTGAAAGCTGCATTCTCTGCAAAGAAGTTTAAGCTCCTGAACGACTATACCAACACCAAGGATGAGTTGCATAACCTGGGTGACACAGATAGCAAGAGAGACGAGGACGAGGACCAACAGTTGGACTTCTTGGTGGAGGCATGGGATCAGCTGTCTGTAGCAACGGTTCGTCACACATGGAGACATGTGTTGCAAGGTATCCCAGGTGGGAGGCAGAGTCAACCTGTGACTGGTGAGGTTCAGACTGTTGCAGTAGCAGTGGATCGTGCCAGAGAAGCTGCACAGAGTGTTACCGCTGCAGGCTTCTCCGAGACCACCAACGACGACATTATGGAGGTGATAAGGGATCCTGATGTGACTGCCGACGAGATGGTAGATGATGATGACGTCAGTGAAGAGGCAGGCGGTGCGTCACCCCGAAAAGAACACAAGTTATTGCAAGGTAATGTAAGGGGTGCCATCGAGTGTGTAGAGAAACTGAAGCTCCTCCTTTCCGACGACCCTGACGATAACCGGTATGAAGTCTTCAATACCCAGCTGTTGCAGGCTATGGAGCCGTACATCAAGGTGTATCACGACAACATCAACACTAGCCGTCAACAAAGCATTGCCGAGTTCCTCGCCCGCAAACCACCAAAGCCAGCCCAAGCCAGTGATAGTGACAGAGACAGTGATGGTGACTTTGAGGGATTTGTCAGGGAGGCCCTGACAAGTGTGGATGACAGTGATGGTGACTCACCTGAGGGCCAGTAGCCTGCCCTCTGCCTCGGAACCATCCTCCATTCCCGTACGCCGACCCATCTCTTCTACTAACGTAATTGTTAAACCTAACCTTGATTTTCCCTAACATAACCTAACCTTTGGTTAGTGTTAAACCTTGATTTTCCCTAACATAACCTAACCTTTGGTTAGTGTTAAACCTTGATTTTTTAAAACATAACCTAACCTTACGTAAGTGTTAAACCTTGATTTTTTCTAACCTAACCTACCATGACATGTGTTAAACCTTGATTTTTCTTTTACCTGGTACAGTATATTATTCTCTTACAAATATTGATATTTCTCTTCTATATTATGTGTGTGTGCATACCATTATAAAGTTAAGAAGTTATTTTTACTGAAACGTATCTATTGTGTCGGGAAAAAGTGGAGTTTGGGGGTAGGCCCAGTCTCTATTTCAAATAATCCCACATGTTCTGTTGTTCACTTTACGCGTTTCCCGCTTTACGCGGGCCTCCACAGGTTCAATTGACCGCGTAAAGCGGGGTTACACGGTATGTATGTGTATGTATATGTATATATATATATATCTTGATAAAATCACACGGGAAAAGGGAAACAACGGAGCACCTTAGCTTTTGTCTTTATTCAAGACATCTTCAGAGGCTAAGGTGCTCCGTTGTTTCCCTTTTCCCGTGTGATTTTATCAAGATTTATCTTATCCACATTTTCATTGTTGAACTACATGAAGTATATATATATATACAGTATATATATATATATATATATATATATATATATATATATATATATATATATATATATATATATATATATATATATATATATATATATATATATATATATATGTTACGTTTTAAATGCAGGAAAGTGGCTTTCTTACCGTAGAACTCGGATACCTTCACACTGGTTACTCACCCAAGAGATTATGGTGTATCACTACGTAGAATTTCGCTCTGCTTCCGGCATTCAATGCGTTATGTACTTGATAAATGATGATTTAATGAATTCCACTAACTTCCAACATCCATCTAAGTTATTGGTTATACTTTGTCATAACCAATCAGTCATTACCCTTGGTAATAATAATAATAGAGGGATCACAGATACGGGCAGATGATTGCACTTACGTTTATTTGGCACAATTCCATACACCGGACTTATAATTTGCATGGATAGGTCAGTCACTCACATTCACGCCACAGTACCGTAAGTTATAAGGGAGAGTTTGTCAACCTGGAGAATTAATCGTTTAGATCTATTAGGCCGGCCTGGAGTGCTCTTGTAGCAACCAGGCCCTCACCATTGATCACTTCCTTTACAGGATGTGTTAACTTGTCGCTGGACTTAACAAAAATCTCGGGGATTTGCACACACAGACTCGCAGCACTGGTAGAACTGTATGGCCCCTGTTCTTAAGTCCGCGGAGCAGGAGGTCTTCTCTAACCCATGGTCTAAAGCCCACTGGCTAAATTGGTTTTTTGAGGCGTGAAGTGATGAACAGTACACACTGTCTCACTGACCTGCCCCCCTATCCGCTGGCTAACATACCACTAATTGAAAACATGTCCCAGTTATGGCTGGCCTGTTACCTTATCTCTACCATAAACAAACATTTGGGATGGGTTGTGCGGGAGGCCCAACGCAACCCATGACAATGATAATACAGTAATAATAATTATTCAGAGTAAATAAAAATTTTAATAAAAAATACACAAAAATAAAATAAGCATGATGATGATAATAATAATAATAATAATAATAATAATAATAATAATAATAATAATACTGTAATAATAAAATAATAATAATAATAAAGAAATACAAGAATGAAAAAAAGATCAAAAGTGAGAAACACGACCTAGACCTATGAATTATTATTATTATAATTATTATTATTATTACATTTTAGCCCCCAGGCCCCAATGTGGGTCAGTGACCTGTGCCCGGGTGGGCTGATCCCTGTAAAAAAAAAAAAAAATAATAATAATAATAATAATATCTGAAATACGAAAAATTCCAAAAACCGAAATGCATCTGGTCCCAAGGATTTCGGATAAGGGATTGTCAACCTGTGGTATAATGTCATTAACAACGGTCTCATTTGTTTATACTGTTCTAGCATTTTTTTTCACGACATGCCACTGGTACAAGGTAGTACAGTACTGTACAGGTATTATTATGTTTAAAATATTTTTATAACATTTGGCTTCTTGTTATAACTGCAGTATTATTGTTAATGATAAGATTATCATTGTTTAATTATTATTGTATTTGTAGTACACTACAGTATAGTTCTGTACTGTATTCCTGTACAGTACTACAGTACTTTTTTTTTTCAAATTGTAATATTCTTACAGTATAATATTTATAATCTACATATTAGAGAGGTTAGGATATTCAATAAATGATAATCATTACTTTTGGAGTACATTACAGTATTTGTTAAAGATGTATTTATGTGTTTCTATGATTTTATCTTCACTAGGCAGAACAACATCCTGTAAAGGAAGGACTGTGCTATAAAAACTGTGACCCACCACACGAGTTCCAAGTGGAGATCCGCAATGCTAATATTACCACAATAGAGGAAGCTCTCTCCTATGCTTGTAAAAAACACGGCAACAAAAAAGCACTTGGAACAAGACAGATATTGCAAGAATCAGAAGAACTTCAGAAGAATGGCAAAGTTTTCAAAAAGGTTAACAGTATTGTGATTACTCTTTCTGTAATTTAGTTATTAATGTATTTTATGACCAGTCATGGCCACTTATTCCTTCAAGATTTTAATCAAGTTCTCGGTTTCTAGTTCAATTTTGTATCATTAATCTTACTTTATCTATATTTCTGAGGTGATTGTAGACTGCACATTAGCCTGTCGCTCCCTGTTCACTAGTACAGTACAGTAATTTTGAAGTACTGCACATATTTATTTCTTCACAATATTAACTGGAAGTCATGAGTGATGTCATTATAATGATTTCTGTGTTTACATTAAAGGATTGACATCACATGTATGTGATCTTTAAGGTACAGTATAGCTAATCAAAGTAATAATTCTTGTTACAGTATGAACTTGGAGAATATTCCTGGCTCACATACACTGAAGTGGATAACCTGGCTCACAAGTTTGGCTGTGGCCTCCGGGCTGTTGGCCATAGACCCAAACAAAATATTGTGATATTTGCAGAGACCAGAAAAGAATGGTTAATATCTGCAATTGGATGCTTTAGACAAAGCATTCCATTGTGTACACTGTATGCCACACTTGGGGATGAAGCAGTTGTCCATGGTATTAATGAAACTGAGGTAAGCTTTTCTGCAGTGTAATTGAAGAGTTCTTTTCCAAAATGTGATGTACAATACAGTACTGTAATGCCTGATGCATGGATTGTGCTCACCAAATAACTACAGTATAAGCTTGATTGTGAATAACCAGAGATGAGTGCTCCTATGCCATCTCACAGCATGAATCATCTTCTGATAATGGTAAATAACTAGCAGGAATAGTTCAACATGTTAAATAAAAGGGTGAATATCACATATAGTTCAGGGTATTTGGAAATTACATTTTCAAAAGTACAGAAGTATGTTGTTATAATCCAGACTGTTTATGCTGTTACCCTAAAGTGAGATTGTCATTGAATTCTTGGTTATGTAGGCAGAAGTTTGCTAGGTTACATAGATTTAATACATATACAGTGGTCCCTCGGTTAACGAAAACAATTCGTTCCACAGAGTTGTTCGTTAACCGAAAAGTTCGTTAACCAAATCCATTATTTCAATTGGATATTGGGTAATTGGTTCCAGCTCACAGAAAAGTACATACAAAGTATAAAAAAATGCAGTAAAGTACACTTACTTTGAGGTGTGTATGTAGAAGGTTGCTGGTTGATGATGATGATGGGAATTAGAAGTAGGGGGTGAAGCAGGAGAAGGGAGAAGAGAAGGAAGTAGGGATGGAGGAGAAATCGCCTTTCTTTGGACCCATGCTTGATGCAGTAATTTCACCAATAAAATTTTAAGTTCACTAGGTGTAATTCAAGATTATTTTATTTAAATCAACACTGCATTGCGCTATATACTGTATTATCAATATGTTAACTAAATTTCAGAATGACCAATAATTTTAATGTAAAAATACTCTGTATTCAAGAGATCGACAAACACGATTTTTCCTCCACTGTAAACAAAGTTAAACTGACGCTTTGACAGGTGAGTCAAGCGGCTGATGGGTGCACAAAAAACTAGTTCCCTGTACAGTGATCGCTCGGTTAACGAGCGCCTTGGTTAATGAGATTTCGGTTAACGAATTACCTTCCATAAGATTCTTAACTTCGGTTAACGAGCATTCCCTCGATTAACGAATTCCTTACGGGCGGCCCTCAACATGTCTTTGCTTGCACACCAGCTGTCGTATTAGTTCGCCAATACAGTAATCGGTTCTCGGGCTTAAATTCCTTACCGTTTTAGTAAATATCAAGAAGGTTGTACTATTCAATAATTTTAAAAGTTTTATATTAAATTTTTTAGTAATTTTAACAATTATTGAACATAATTGAAGTACAGGAAACTAGTTTTATGCGCGCCAAACAGCCTGTCAACACACCAAACAGACGTCAGTCTTTGTGTCTTTTCAGTGGAGGTAACATCTTGCTTGAGACTCTCTTCAACATAAATGCTTTTTTCTGTGTTTTCAGTCAAATTATTGGTCATTTTGAAATTTATTTTACATATTGATGATATATAGCACAGTGCAGTGTTAATTTAAAGAAAATATTCTTTATTTACAGCAATTAAACTGAAAATATCACATGTTGAAATTGTTTTTGAATCCAGCATGGGTCCCAAGAAATCTAGAAAAGTGATTTCAATTCAGATGAAACAGGAATTAATTAGAGAACATGAAGAAGGCATTACAACAAATGTGCTAAGCAAAGAATATGGCATGTCGACAACAATTGTGTCGACAATTCTTGCACAGAAAGACAAATTTAAGGAAGTGAAAGTGAGAGACAAATCTACCAGTGTTCAAAGGTAGATCCCTAATAGCAGAAACAGAGAGGTTACTTCTCATCTGCCTTAGGGAAAAACAGATCAAAGGTGATTCAATTTCTACTGAATTTATTTGTGAAAGAGCCATGGAAATATACGAACATTTAAAGGAAGATCAACCTGGTTCTTCAGGCACAGAATTTGAAGATTTTAGGGCCAGCAAGGGCGGTTCGAAAAATTTAAGAAAAGAAGTGACATATATAGTGTTGTTAGGCATGGTGAGGCTGCCAGTGCTGATAAGGAAGGGGCAGCAAAGTTTTTAGTGGAATTTAAAAAACTGATGGATACAGAAAATTATCTTCCACAGCAAGTGTTCAATGTAGACGAAACTGGGCTGTTCTGAAAAAAGATACCCAAAAGAACATTCATCACCAGAGATGAAGCCTCTTTACCTGGGCATAAACCCATGAAAGACTGTCTTACTCTATTGCTTGGTGCCAATGCTTCAGGGGATTTCCGACTGAAGCCTATGCTTGTCTACCACTCTGAGAACCCCAGGGTGTTCAAGCAACAAAAAATGGTAAGAGGACGGCTTGGAGTTTATTAGAAATCCAACTGTAAGGCATGGGTAACAAGACAGCTCTTTAATGAATGGGCTGTTGAGGTATTTTGCCCTTCTGTGAAGAACTACCTAACCACCAATAAACTCCCTTTAAAGGCTCTTCTCCTCATGGGTAATGCCCCTGTTCATGACCCTCAACTTGCCAGAACTCTGGAGTCTCAATTTGACTTTGTCAAAGTGTTGTTTTTGCCTCCCAACACTACATCAATCATACATCCAATGGACCAGAATGTGATCAACAACTTTAAGAAGCTGTACATGAAGAAAATGTTCAGGAGGTGTCATCAGGCAACTTCCACTGATCCTGAACTAACACTGGCACAGTTCTGGAAGACACAGTTTAACATCCTGGAGGCTGTAAAATTGATTGTGTCCTCATGGCAAGAAGTCTCCACTAGAACCCCCAACTCTTCATGGAAAGCACTGTGGGCATCAGTAGTCCATGATTTTGAGGGATTTCAGGATGAAACAGAGTTGCACCAGGAGATTGTGTCCATTGGTCAGTCATTGGGCCTTGAAGTGGAGGAGGAGGATGTGGAAGAGCTTGTGATGTCTCATGAGCAGGAACTTACTCCTGATGACTTGCAGCAACTGGATGAGATGTTAGAGGCTGACAGTGGTGAGATGGAAACGGAAATTGATGACCATATGTCAACTTCAGAGTTGAAAGATGTTGTTCACCACTGGGAGAAGTTCAGGAAACTGGCTTCAAGGCACCCAGATGTGGAAAAGTCTGAACTAGCTTTGTGTCATGTTGAGGACACAGTGGTCTCCTTCTTCAAACATCAGTTAATAATGAGGAGAAGAGATGCCCCACAGACAAAAATTGACAGTTTCTTCAGTAAAAGGCAGCAGGAACAAGATGCTAGCCCTCAGCCTTCCACTTCAAGAAGGAGAGAGGATGTTCCTGGTGGAGAATCTGTCAGTCCAGAGGTTCCTGACATTTTCATGGAAGGTGACTCACCTTCCAAGAAGCAGTAAAATGCTTCTCCTCCACCTCCACTTCCTTCTCTTCTCCCTTCTCCTCCTCCACCTCCCACTTCAAATTCACATCAGCATCATCATCCAGGATTCTTCTACATACACCTCAAAGTAAGTGTACTTAACTACCTTTTTTATTGACTTCAGGCAATTTTCGGTGAGCTGGAACCAATTACCCAAAAACCCATTGAAACGATGGTTTCGGTTAACGAGCAACCTTCTGGAACGAACTGTATAACTAAAAATTAACAAATGTATATATTATCAATATGTTAACGTTTTAAAATGAATTAATATTTTTGTCATAAAAATGCAAAAATATTAAAGTACAATCTTGTTGATAATAGTTAAAATTCACTTAACGCCAGTCAATTGAATCACAGGTCCCCATGCTAAGTGAAATCCGCGTTAAGTGAACAACAGAACATATGGGATTAATTCCAATAGAAACCGGCCCGACCCCCAAACTCCACTTTTTGAAGGCACATACCTATGTTGTAGTAAAAATAACATCTAAATTTTATGATGGTACATGCACACAATTAATACTTAAGAGAAATAGAGAAATACAGTCGCCAAGTTAATGTCCATTCAAATAATGGACTCAACTCCCTCCCCCTCTCACACTACACTGCCTGGCTCTTCCCTCTCAGAGAAATTTTTGGGGGAAAACCACTAAATTTTAATAAATAATACCTCAAACTAAAGTTAGGATAATACAATTGACATTGCTGGATTCCTTGTAAGACCAGGAATATTTTGAATAGAAATGTCATATATTTTGCACAAAAGATAACATAGTTACCTAGAGAAAAATTTGTATCTAAAATTTGTATGTTTAATGAAAAATATATGATGTTTATATTCAAAATGATCACCAAATTATAAGAATTCCAGCAATGTAAATTATATTCTGACCGGGTAATTTGTATGAATTTTATGAGCTAAAACAAATATCTTCAGTTAATAAAAAAAAAATAATCTTCACAACACTATCTGTCAATCAAAGTACCCCACCTTGCCTCCCCCCCTCTTCCAACCGCGCGGTCAGTCCCAACCCTCCCCCCCACCCCCCACCAATCCTCCCTTCCAGGGTTTTTAACATTTAGTATTAAATAATACCTCAGATTAAAGTTAGGATAATATAATTGACATTGCTGGATTCCTTGTAAGACCAGGAATATTTTGAATATAAATGTCATATATTTTGCACAAAAGATAACATAGTTAATTTGAGAAATATTTTTATCTAAAATTTGTATGTCTAATGCAAAAATATGATGTTTATATTCAAAATGATCATCAAATTATAAGAATTCCAGTAATGTAAATTATATTCAGACCGTATAATTTGTATGAATTTTATGAGCTAAAACAAATATCTTCAGTTAATAAAAAAAATAATTCTTCACAGGGTAACAGATGGTCGGTCGGTCCCTCCCTCCCACCCACCCCCCACCAACCGTCCCAAGGAGATGTGTGGGATAACCACTAAATTTTAATAAATAATACCTCAAACTAAAGTTAGGATAATATAATTGACATTGCTGGATTCCTTGTAAGACCAGGAATATTTTGAATATAAATGTCATATATTTTGCACAAAAGATAACATAGTTAATTTGAGAAAATTTTTTATCTAAAATTTGTATGTCTAATGCAAAAATATGATGTTTATATTCAAAATGATCACCAAATTATAAGAATTCCAGCAATGTAAATTATATTCTGGCCGGGTAATTTGTATGAATTTTATGAGCTAAAACAGGCAGTCAGGCAGGGTGGGGCAAATCTAAAAATAGCGTCTCGAGCCGGACACTCACCGCGTATATGTGGAAAAAATCCGTGTTAAGTGAAAGTTCAGCTCTGGCGAGGCACCGCGTATATGATAAAACGCGTTAAGTGAAACCGCGTTAGGCGGGGTAATACTGTATTTACTCCACTGGAAACGAATATAAACATAAAACCGATTACTGTATTGGCAGACTAGCCCATCAGCTGATGCTCACAACAAAACGTGTTTGTCGTAAGGATTTCGTTAATCAAAATTTTGTTTGTTAACCGAATTGAAGATCCTTGTGGGAGCTAATTCATTAACTGAAATTTCGTTAATCGAATCGTTTGTAAACCGAAGGACCACTGTATTCTGTTGTGCATATAGCATACAGACGCTGAATGACTGAAAATTTGTTTAAAGTTCACGCCAATTTTGTTTTATATTGAAAATTATTGAGATGTTGATTACCCAACTGCTGTGATGATGGTAATTATCCTACTGTTGTTTCCTTAATTAACCTATTGTTGTTTACATACTGGATAATTAATCTACTGTTGTTTTTGCATAATTAACTACTATTGTTTACATTATTTACCTACAGTTGTTTACATAATTAACCTACTGTTGTTTACTTCATTGTTGTTTACATACCGGGTAATTAATCTACTGGTGTTTACATAATTAACCTACTGTTGTTTACATTATTAACCTACTGTTGTTTACATAATTAACCTACTGTTGTTTACATAATTAACCTACTGTTGTTTACATTATTAACCTACTGTTGTTTACATAATTAACCTACTGTTGTTTATATAATTAACCTACTGTTGTTTTCATAATTCACCTACTCTTGTTTTCATAATTAACCTACTGTTGTTTACAATATTAGTCTTCTGTTGTTTACATAATTAACTTTCTGTTGTTTACGTAATTACTCTACTGTTGTTTACATAATTAACCTTCTTTTTTTTCAGGTTACTCATGTTATAACTTCTCATGAGCTGCTGCCAAAGTTTAAGACCATCCTCAGTAAATGCCCAAACGTGACCCATATTACATATTTTTGTGACCAGCTCAAACCCACCCATGTCACAGGGTACAAGGAAGGTGTAGTCTTCAATTCCTTCGAACAAATCGTTGCCAAGGGAACATCAAGTGGTTTTACAGGTTTGTTTGTTGAGTTGATGCTTGTATAATTGTATAGTACCTAAGACTGTGTTTGTTGAGATGATGCTTGTATAATTGTATAGTACCTAAGACTGTGTTTGTTGAGTTGATGCTTGTATAGTTGTATAGTACCTAAGACTGTGTTTGTTGAGATGATGCTTGTATTGTTGTATAGTACCTAAGACTGTGTTTGTTGAGTTGATGCTTGTATAGTTGTATAGTACCTAAGACTGTGTTTGTTGAGATGATGCTTGTATAGTTGTATAGTACCTAAGACTGTGTTTGTTGAGATGATGCTTGTATAGTTGTATAGTACCTAAGACTGTGTTTGTTGAGTTGATGCTTGTATTGTTGTATAGTACCTAAGACTGTGTTTGTTGAGATGATGCTTGTATAGTTGTATAGTACCTAAGACTGTGTTTGTTGAGTTGATGCTTGTATTGTTGTATAGTACCTAAGACTGTGTTTGTTGAGATGATGCTTGTATTGTTGTATAGTACCTAAGACTGTGTTTGTTGAGTTGATGCTTGTATAGTTGTATAGTACCTAAGACTGTGTTTGTTGAGATGATGCTTGTATAGTTGTATAGTACCTAAGACTGTGTTTG